GCGCCCTCTTCCTTCCCCTTCCGCTCTTCTTTGTCTCTCCTCTTTCTTTTTCTCTCTCTGCTGACGCGGCCCTGTGAATCGTTTCTTTGTTTTTATTTTCCTTTTCTATTCCATTACCCCCCTTCTTCTCCCTGTGTTGGTCTATCTGATCATCAGCAGATCTCAACCTTGCTGCCCGCCAACGCCGCTGATATGAGATTGGCCCATCCCTTGGTTGAAATCGGATCGGACGGACAACATAAAGATGTCCCAATCAAATCAACGAAGCCACTAGCCACTTTGATTTGATTTGATTGATTGACCGATTGATTGATTTGAGTGTAAGAAACCGATTTCAGTGCAGGCGACGCGGGCGTTGGCCTCCGTGCGCCGTCCCGGTTTGATATATAAAAAACAATAAATTAATTTACACCGATTTTGAACGGCCTCGCTTTTGGGCCTCGCCGCGCTACTCACCAAAAAATTGTGTCCGAGAAGAAGGGCATCGCCACACCACTCTCGAAATGTGAAAAATGAGAAGGAACTTCCCGCTAGAACATGACCAGATGCGCACGCCACATTTTTGTCTTTTTCACATTTCGAGAGTGGTGCGGCGAGCCCTACGGGCCTCGCTGCACTACTCTCGAAATAATATGCAAAATGAGAACGAATCTTCCTCTAGAACATGGAAAGATACACGGCCATATTTTTTGTCTTTTGTGCATGTGGAGAGTAGTGCAGCGAGGCCCTAAGGTGTGGACCCCACCGGCCGGCGGCCTGGAAAAGTTTGGGGGCCGGGGTGTTTCGGTGTGGAAAGCCGGCCCGGAAAGGACCCCACTGCCCTTGGAAAGAGGTTGCCGAAATGGTGAGGGGGCTTTTCTACATGGTCCGCGGTCTGGAAATTCGACGCCCACCGGTTTCCAGACCCTTTCCAAGGAGGCAGCCAGTTGGGCAGGGCGGGGGGCATGTCCATCAGTTTCCAGACGCGGGCTTCACGGCGTGGACCATGCGCCCTCGCCGTGGACAGTTCTGTGTACCCGGAGGCCGTTGCGGACATTCGTATTTTCCCGTGGTGTTGCACAGTATTCCCAAGAGCAGTGCGGTACCAAGCCATGGTCCACAGCACCCGCCCGACTTGCCTTTTCGGGAAACACCCTTCGGCGGTTTCCTATTCGGATATGCCATGCCTTTTTCAGTGCCGAAACTATTGGTCTGTGGTGGGGTCCCTTCAAAATGCGTCAAGTTCTTTCCAACCACGGTCGGCTGTTTTTTGTGGCCAACACCAGTTTTGGTATTTTTTTTATAATATGTTAGTAAGAAGTGCACTCTATAGATTGGTGTGAAGTTTGTTTGGGATGGCCTTATGGTTTTCTTATAAATTGAGGTGAAAAATGGGGGGTCGGTTAACCTTTTCTCTTCCCTCTGGTCCTGTCATGCCGAGCCTAACGAGGCCTGGCGCCTAGCTTGTAGTCCTGGACATTTATAGGTTTGCATGTTGCGCTGTACCATTCTCATCTATTTTTTCAGATCTGGAAGCTAGGGGGCATGGTGGTGAAACGGTAGGCAACCAGTGCGGAAAAAAGGAAAAGGTGAAAAAGTGGGGGGGGAGGCGGAGGGGGGGAGGATGGTAAACGGGGGACGGATTGATGGGCACATAGGGATTGAAATCCACACTCTAGTTAGTTGTTACCATCAACACTGTCGCTATAGGTAAAAATTGAAAACACGAGAATGGTGATGACGATGGTGAAAAAAATTCACGTGACTACGCGGCAATGGAGGTGGCACAATTGACATAAAAATGTTAGTTTCTATACAATTGTTATTTTGACATAATCGCACTCTTTCACAACTTAAATAATTAGGAGGAAACACAACACGATAAGTGTTTGCTTCGCGAGGATGCATCTATATATGTATAATGGTATATATGTACGTATACACGTGTTGTATGTACTATGTATGAATTTACGTGTATATGTAAGTGAATGGATATCACCCTATAACGTAGGATACAAAATACATGTAATATTCATTCACACGTACATCATATATAATATTATTGTATGTATATATACGCATGTTGTGCATATGCATTCTTTCTTGATTCTTCAATGGAGAAGCGGTGATTTATTGGATGTCCCCGATAAGTAATTTATGAGTCTAGAGTCATTTTTTTGCTATGCATGCATATATAATATGCACAATCGTTAGTCCCTCTTATGTATCACTTTGTATTTAAAAAAAAAAAAAAAAGTTTTCTTATCTCTGAGTTACACAAATATTTCACCAAGTTTCTTCGATATCCTTATTTTAAGTCCCTAACTACATTGACTCTTGTTCACCGTGACCTATGTATATAATATGTGAATTCAAGTTACGTAAGTGCGCATAGAGATTGAGATTCACAACATTAGTTAACTGCTATCGTTGGTATCACCGCTATGGAAAAAAATAAAACACGATAATGGCGATGACAATGGACAAGAAAATTGACATAGCTACGTGGAAATGAAGGTGATAAATGTGAAAAAAACAACGATTAACATGAAAATGTTAGTTCCTCTACACTTTATTATTAACATAATCAATCTCTTTCACAATAATTAGGAGGAAGTACAACATAATGGGATAAAATTCAGAAGGCATTGGTTTTACGTGGATACATTCATATACGTATAGTTGTATATATGTACATATGCACATGTTGTATGTGAGTATGTACATGTATATACGAGCGAATGGATGTCAACCTATGATATAAAATAAAAAATACATGTAATATTCACTGACACATACATTATATGTAAAGTTATCATATGTATATACACGCACGTTATGTTTATGTATTTTTTATTGGTTTTCCAATAGAAAAACGGTGACTTGATTGACATCTCTGAGGGGTAATTTATGAGCCCAGAGTCGTCTTCTTGTTATGCATGCATACGTAATATGCACATTCGCTTCCTCTTGTTAAATGTCACTTTTGATTGATTTTACAAAATAAGTATTCCCTTCTCCCGAAGTTACGTAGTTATTTCACCAACTTTTTTTCAATGTCATTATCCAAAACCTCTAACTATACTGTCTCGCGTTCACCTATGTATATAATATGCGTATTCAAATTACGTAAGCGCAAACAAGGATGAAAATCCAATGCGTTAGTTGGTTGTTATCGACAACACCATTACTTTGAAAAAAAAATGAAAACATAACGATGACGATGGTGATAGTAACGAAAAATAATATAGCTACGTAACAATGGAGGTAACAAATGTGAAAAACAACGATTGACACAAAAATATTACCTCATCAACAGAAAAATTTCCACGAGAAATGAAAGTTGAAAAAATATTCCATAAAAAAAAATCCTTCATATTTATAAATTGTAATTATAATGTTCGTCAAATTCTAAAATTTTCAGTTTTATTTGATAACTTCCCGTTTAAATATGAGTTTTCTCTTCCAACTACACTCATTTGTTCAAGTTCAAATAAGAAGGGATACCTCGTTATTGAAATGAAAGTTTTCAAGTAAAACGAAAATTTTTAAAATTTAAATGACATTTTTTAAGATAGAATAAAAATTTAAAATTTAGAATGTAATTTTACTTTAGAATGATTATTTAATTTTGGGAAAATTTTCTGTTGATTTACAATTTACTTTTGACATAATTGCGCTTTTTCATAATAATTATGAGGAATGACAACATAATGGGATAAATGCATTAGGTATTTGTTTCACGGAGATGTATCCATATACATATATATATATTCATATACTATATACGTACGTATGTAAGTATTTACATATACATATGAGTGCATGGATGTCAAGGGCAGGGAGGGGTAAATGAAAGATAAAGAAATGAATTCATACAGATTGAAATCCATGCCCTTAGTTAGCTATAACCATCAACACTGCCGCTTTGGAGAAAATGTGAAAACGCAATAATGGTGATGACGATGGTCACAAAAATTAACGTGGCTACACAACAATAGATGAGGCACAATTAACATGAAAATGCTAACCCTTCTACAATTATTTTTTACATAATCGTGCTCATTCAAAATAACAAGGAGGAAGCGCACTGAAATGGGATAAAACACAATAAGCAAATACATCCATATACGTATATTCGTATATATATGTACGTATACACATATTGTATGTATTGCTTTTAATGTAATCGTGTCCTTTCACAATAATAATGAGGAATCACAATAGGATGGGATAAAATACAGTACGCAAATGCATCCATATACCTGTCTCTTATACACATCTAGATGTGTATAAGAGACAGGAGGAAGCGCACTGAAATGGGATAAAACACAATAAGCAAATACATCCATATACGTATATTCGTATATATATGTACGTATACACATATTGTATGTATTGCTTTTAATGTAATCGTGTCCTTTCACAATAATAATGAGGAATCACAATAGGATGGGATAAAATACAGTACGCAAATGCATCCATATACATATTCTCGTATATATATATACATACAGGGTAACCGGTGTTCAGGACGAGCCGAACGCCCAAACCCGAACGCCCCCCCCCCCCCCAAAAAAAAAAGTCATTAAAAAAATCTAAAAAAATAATATATTGTGAAGAAAAATAAACGAAACAAGATTTGCCCAAGCATTACGTCCGAATTCCTTACCAAATTTGAAATAAAAATAAAATACACAGAAAAATACTAATAATAAAAATAAATAAAAATAAAAAGAGAATTAAATTTAGTGAGTGCGCGAGCATGTTTTCGACACCGCCATCTTTGGCGATTTTTCATTTTTTTTTTTGCATAGCTAAATGGCCTAAAAATTTACACATGTGTAATTCACATAATACAAAACCCACTTAAAAAGTTTCAAAAAATAATAAAATTGTTTAGACCCCGAACTAAAGTGAAAATAAAAAGTAAGAAGTGAAAAAGAATATGGGCGAGCAAGTTTTGACACCGCCATCTTTGGCGATTTTTAATTCTTATTTGGCTATGCCAAATGACTTGAAAATTTATAGGCGTGTACCTCACGTCATAAAGAACTCATAAACAATAATTCAGAAAACAAAAATTATTCTTAGACCCCAAAATCATTTTTGGCGGGTGCCGAACGTAGTCGGGTTCGGACCCCGTACGGGATCCCGAACGCCTGAATGTACGGAGGTTCGCTCAGGGGCCTCCGTACGTACGGGCTGGTAACCATGTATATATATATATATATATCGTCAAATATATATATATATATATATTAGGCTACCAGCCGAGCCGCCCGGGTCCCGGTGTGAGGAAACCCGGGGAGGAAGCCCTGTCCGTCGCTGGAGCCTAAGGCAACGGCATCTGTCACC